TGGTGGGCAGTGGTTACCTGCAGGCTCATACCTACCTGGTAAGTGCTAAGAATAAGTGGTTAGTTACTAAGTGTTCGTTATGGAGTGAAATGTCTGTAGTACCCCCTCCAGGGCTCAAGAAATCTCAGACCAAAACAGGAAAAATGTACCTTGAGGTTAAGAGTTCTGTGTGCACTTAAGATAGTCAAAAGGAAGTTCCTGTTTGTCCTGTATCAAGCCCTTGTAAAATAAGGTTTCTATTTACCATTAAGAGTCAGTTCCTGTTTCTTAGGCTTGTGTAACTTGTGTGCAACCCCATGAACATGATGCTCGATCCTTTGTCTCTTCTGTTCTAACAACCAACCCTCTTGCCCCTGTGAGCACCTTATCTCTCCTGTAAGAGAGCCTTCAAAAGGCCTTCAGGGGCTCCTCCCTCAAATCTCAACTTAGGCGACTGGTAGCCAGCTGGCCTGTCCTGGGTGCACCCCAAAATACAGCCTCCTTTAATTGGACAATCGTGGACTTGGCTTTTTCTCCTCCTGAATCTCAGATTTAACAAGATATGACACAGGTGGGGCAGAAAATATGCAAGGGTCAGGGAAAGAGGGGACGGCTGTAGATCACCATCCTCAGAGTGTGACAAGGTATTTGTCCTCTTTAATCATTCTGTAGCTGTGACTGACTATATCTGCATTAAAACTGGACCCACTATTTGCTCTCATGGGGAGGGAGGGGCTCTCATGAGGTCCCACCCCTTTACAGGATATATAGAAAGTGTCTTTATTAGGGTATAGATTGCTGTGATAAAATACCATGACCAAAGCAACTCGTAGAGGACAGGGTTTGTCTGGCTCACAGTTTATGCTCTGTCATGAAGGGAAGCCAAGACAGGAACCTGAAGGCAGAAACTGAAGCAGAGGCCATGGAGGAACACTGCTTACTAGCTTGTTTCTCCTACTTCAGGACCTCCTGCCTAGGGGTAGCACCATCTTCAACAAGAAAATAACCCACAGGCTTACCCACAACCTAGTCTGATGCAGGCATTTTCTCCACTGAGGTTCCCTTCTCTCAGGCAGCACAGGAAGTTAATGGCTGTTAAGGTGGAGGGCACCCACCTCCCTGAGGGTGTATAAGTAGTTAATGGTTGCTGAGATTATTTTCTTTGGTGATGAAGCCCCTGTAAGTTACCCATACTTTATAAATAACCCCTCACTCCTCCTGTAAGCTACAACCCTAATTAAACAACATTGCTTCACCAGGGCGAGACTTGAAATGGAGTTATTTCTTTGGTCTGTCATTGGTGACTTATCTGGAATGAACAGTCGTTTGTCTCCCACGAAAGGTCACACAACAGCCACGGAACCTGTTCTTATGGTTTGGCGTAGGGACTTCCACTTTGCTCTGCAATTGAAGAGTGACTTTCAGATTGGTGCTCTGTTCTGATGGCAGGACCAGCTCCCGTAGCTGGGCAAGGCAGCCCCCTGAAGTGGAAGTTTCTGGTCATGTCACGTAATACGGACTCACATGGTGTTTTGTTGAGGCAAGACCCGTGGGAGGACATGTGATGTTTGGAGAGAGTGTAAAAGGGACAGTGATGGAGGCTTGCATAGGCTAGCTTTACAACGCTTCGCTGATCTTCACTTTTTTGAGAGTGGCACGGCCCGGAACTGTTCCTGGTGTCCTGGCCAGTCCTGGACTGACTCAGCAATTTGGCAGAGACCTGGCTGTGTCTCCTGGATCCCACCACCCCTACTGATTCATGTTTAGTATCTGACACTACTGAACTTCACTGCTGGTATCCTGATAGACAGAGACTGGGATCACCCCAAAGAACTTCTGAACAGGTCCATATCTTTTCCTATTTACCACCCTTTCTCCCCTACCTTTGGATGGTGGGCTAGAAGGGATGTCAGATCATCTAAAAATCCTTATTATAGAGTAGGTTTTTTAAAAATCTAAGGGCTAGAGAGATGGCTCTGAGGTTAAGAGTACTGACTGATCTTCCAGAGCTCCTGAGTTCAATTCCCAGCAACCACATGGTGGCTCACAACCATCTGTAATGGGATCCAGTGCCCTCTTCTGGTGTGTCTGAAGACAGCTACAGTGTACTTATACAAATGAAATAAATCTTAAAAAAAAAAAAAGTTAAAAAAAAATCTAAGCCTACAGCCCCCACTGCTCAGACATGACTCCAGAGTCTTGAGGGATAGGGCTCACAAGATCTGTTTAAGATCTCTCTCACCAGCTACCTTTGGAGTATTGAGCCCAGTCAACTTGACCAGCTAACAAACCTCCTGGAAGGTGTAGACCAACATGTAAACTGTTTACTATCTAGAGATGTTAAAGTAAATTACAGTCACAATGATGTACAAAGCTAAATGAGGAAGAACAGGCCGGGGAGTTTAGTACGAGGGAGGATCTCACTGCTCTAAGTACAGTAAATAGGAATTTGAGAAGATGGATGTGGTACCAAATGCTTGTTAACCCAGAGTTTAGAAGGCAGGAGGACTTGAGGAATTGAGACCAGTTTGGGCTAGAGAGAGAGAATGGGGTGGGGTGGGGGCTGGTTTTCCTCTGAGATCCATGCACTGTAATATTAGTTAGCCCCACCAGAGGGCAGCCTCTCTGCATTTACAGTCTACTTGGCAGACAATTGTCGCACACAGGTCAGCGTACATGCTGGACTCCAGATTTGAGCAGAACCAACTCTCAGGGCTTTCTCAGCCCTAAGAAATTCACACAGACCCTGATAAGAGTGTCTCAAATACTTTACAGACAGCTCCTTCTGAAAGGCCAGAGAGATGACTTGTGGGGAACGGCTCTAGAATCATGAGGTCACTTTTCTTTTTTTTTCCAGCATAATATTTTTATTGATTATTTGGGAATTTCTTACAGTGTATCCCAATCACACATCCATTTCTCCAAAGCTCATCTCCAGCCCTTGTGCCCACACCTCAAAAAAATACACAAAGCACAATCTTTGCTGCCCTTGTTGGAGAATGGTCAGACTCCCAGCAGCCAGCCCCTCAAAGATAACTGAGTCCTTTCCCATCTCCACCACCACACGCACACACTCCCGGAAGTATGCAAGAGCATCCATCAGCATTCATCACAATCCTTAAGGACCCTCCCAACAGCTTCCTGTCTAGACCCTTCCCCCTTTCCTTAGGGTCGAGGAAGACGTTGCCAACATCTCATTCTCCCCTGTAGTCCTCATCACCACCAAGTGTGGTCGTGTGACCTGACTATGAATGGGCAGCTTTCTCTCCTTTACCCACTGTGTAGCTGTCAGTCAAAGGGGGACTCAGTTGGAAACTAGGACTTTCCCTGAGGCAGAAGAACTGCAGGAAACAGCACCTGCTCCAAAGCCCTGTCCTGGCACTGCCTCAGGAAGGCTGAATGTCACCTTTGTATTTCTCCTGGACCTGGCTAGGACTAGGAGCTTGGGGACAGCCCAGTGGCATGGGATCATTAGCATATCGAATTGATAAAAGACAGGCACACCAATGGCATGTCAGCCATATTCTAGGTTCTACTATGCCAGCATTGGGAGGTAATTGGTACACTATAGAGGAAGAATCTGAGAGAAATGCTTTGCCTTTTCACGGCCACAGCAGCCAGTTAATACTGAGGAATTTGCCTCTCTTTTGGCCCCTGTCGTAACCTTCCCGTCTTGCCTCCACCCCAACTGGATCAAGTTGTATCTGCTTGTCCATAACCCTGCCATACTAGAAAATCCATGCATGGGTGTTGTGGGGGTTTTGGGGGGATGGCTCTATTTTTATTGGTCCCAGATAGAGAAGGCAACAGCAGACCAAAGACACACCTGTGTCCAAGTTCAGCCTGATGAACATTTTAGTTTGGAGTTTGAAGTTACAGCCAGGAGCAGGTTTTGTGGTATCTATGTTGTGGAAAAGCCCCTCACGCCACCCCAACATGAGTAAGACTCATGAAAGCCTTGTCCCATGGAGCTTCCGGGCAGCTACACTAAAATGAGCCTCAAAGGGTTCCCTCCCATAGTTCACTACATCACTTCCTTGGGGAGGAGCAGGGATTCCTTAGCTTTCCCATCCTTCACATGACAATGTTAATAAGCCAGCCTCAGGAGGGCCCCCGTGCAGGAGATCACAGCTGTTCCGATTGAAGACAGCAATAATCAGATGTTACCCAGAGGAAGCAGCTGGTGACAATGGTTGCCATTTTCCCCAGGATCTGTTAGAACCCAAGCTATCATTCGGAGAGAGAAAACAGTCCTTTCACAGCCCCTAATCTGGAAGTGCAGGAGTTGCTAACTGAATTTTTCCAGGCCCTGCCTAGGCACACAGGCAAGCCTTTCAGAACATCTCCTTTCCCTTTATCTGAATTGGCCTAGGAAGGTTCTTGATTGTTAGCAACCATCCAAATCTGAGGGTTGGTTGGTTTTGTTTTCTCGAAACAGACTCACTTTGTGGCCAAGACTGACTTCAAACTCAAGATCCTCCTGCCTCTACTTCCTGAGGGTTACAGTGTGTGTCAAACTGGTGTCTGTCTGAGTGTTGGGGTTACAGGTATCCACCACACTGGTGTCTGTCTTGAGTGCGGTGGGTGATTACAGGTGTGCACCACCACACTGGTGTATACCTGTTCTTTTTATCACCAAATCAGTTGTTAATTGTATGAAGAATTACTTAGGGCTCTAGTAGAACAGCTATTATGTATCCAAAATGTAGGCGTGTCTACTTAAATGTCATATGTAGGGTTTTGTTTAAATTTGTGTGCATATATGTGTGTGTGTGAGCGTGCATGTGCGTGCATGTGTGTAGTGTATGTGTAAGGAAAGTGGCTTGTGCAATGGCACACATGCGGAGGCCAGAGAACAATCTCTCCTTCTGTGGTGGATCCAGGGATCGAACTCAGGTCATCAGGCCTGGGTGGCAAGCCCCTTTACCTGCTGAACCACTTTGCAGGCCTTGTATCATCCTTTTTTGCAAATATGTATTTATGGAAAAGTCATTCATCAACCAATCAAATGCATCAGTCACTCCTTTGTAAAAATCTTTTATTGTTGAAGAGGAGATATTGTGTTTTTAATGCAGGGCACTACAGAAACCATAATGGATGCGGGGTTGAGGCTGTGCATATGCAGCTTCTGTGCTGAGGCGGGAAGGGAGCCAACAGGAGGCCCTTACAGGCAAGGGAAGAGAAAAGGAAGCAGGAGCACAGGCACTGGGACCGCCACGGGGACCGTGTCTTAACGATGCAATCCGGGGTCCAGGAGTAGAGTGCTAAAGACAAAAATAAATAAATAAAACTTTAAATCACACCTTTGTCCTACAAAACACCCACTGTTCCACCCACTGAGGGAACAAGGGCTGGCCAGCTTCAGGGAAGGAAAAAAAAGCTTAACTCTCAGTTGTCCCTACAGCCTTTTGGGACCAGAGAACTAACTGTTGGCTGCAGGTGCTTGCTCCTTCCACGATGAGCTAAACGCTGTGTCTGCCTGCCTGTCTGTCTATCTGTCTGTCTGACCGGTTCATATCACCCAGTACTCCCAGGAGGCTGGTGCAGACACAGCCCACCCACAGCGACCCGTCCTCCCCTCCTTAACCCAGCTCTTGGTCTTGGAAGGCAGGCTCTGAATGGCTTCTCTTATCAGCCAGCTTTCACGTGAATGAAATAAAATGATGTAGTCATCTGTGTTGATCCACGTCCTCTAACCGACTTTAAATGCTAGCCCCTGGGGACTCTACGCCCAGTTGGTGAGGCACCTGACAGGCTTAGAACACCGCCGGTGGTGAGATTAAGAAAGCTACAATTACAGAAATCCCTCTGAAAGAGCTTGGACTCGCCAGCAAGTATTAAAAGGAGATTTCCACAATGCACTTGCTTTTACCATTTGCATGAAATACTACGGCAAAATCGCACGGTAATTATCTTTACAGTCAGTGCATAACGCCGGAGGAGAGTATATCACCCAGATATAGCTACCCGCATAATTATCTGGCCATCGGCGGGACTGAAATAGCCATCTAATGAGAGCAAAATGACATGGTGTGCACCGTGTAATCAGCCAGTTACAATTATTACAGCCCTTATGCCCTCTCGCCCAACAGCAAAGGGGATCAGACCCTGGTCCTAGGGAGTTGTGAACAGGTGATATCAAGAGTCAGCTTCTTGGGTCTCAAACTGGCCTCCCTGAGACTGTGACTGAATTCCCAGAATGAGGGGAGAGAGGTAGGAGGCCGGGTGGGGTTGCAGAGGCTCCCAGATCCTTGCTCACTCCTATCTTCCTTCTCTTTAGAAACCAGCAAAAAGGAAGGCATCAACTGAGCTGCCTTTGCCATGTGTGGGTAGATGGTGTCAAGACATAAGCTCTGTGTTTTGACTAGACTTCCCTGAGGAGCTTTCACACTGCTGGACAAGTGAGGAGTGTCTCAGCCCACTCGGTCCTGAGGTCTGACCTAGATGGCTTTCGGCAGTCAGATAAAAGCCAGTCAGGGGACACATAAGGACATTCTCTACCCTCCATTCCCAACACCCAGCTCCCAGACCGGAAGAACCATTATACAGATGACTCTCAGTGTGCCAGGAACCATTATAAAGGCTTTGTCTATAAAACCACCACCCTGGGCAATCTTATCACCGCACTTATATTCCAAACGGGGAAACTAAGGCACAGCATTAAGTCACTGGGCCAAGGAAACATGGCTAGAGAAAAGCAGGCCCAGGACTGAGTTTAGATTATGTTCTAATACATTCTGCTGTTCCAAAGGGCCCAGATATGGTTTCTGGCTGTTGCCACAGACTTTTAGCATCCCCGAATCTCTTCCTAAATCGCAAGTGTACCTGACCGCATCCTAAGTAGTTTACGTCTCGGCACAGTTCAGCCTACCTGGGAGGCAAATACTTCGACTGTGAATAATCAGACCTATAGCGAATGAAAGATGATATCTCGCCATCTTTGTATAGATCACAAGAAGACATCGTCCAGAACAACAGCAGAGAAGCCCCACGGGATTCTTCTCCCTGTCTCCTACCACTCACTCTGTCTGCTCAGTAATCATCGGAGTCCATGACACCAGAGAAAGAGATGAAAGAACGCAGTGGGGCTAAGTACAGCATGAGTATGTCTAAGAGTCATTGTTCCCGACGCTTGGTGCACTGTCCATAAATCTGTGTTTTAGGGCAAAGGTGTGTGTATCCGTAGCATCTCTGAGAACCACAGCGGACACCTCCCTGTCCCCAACCCCTCCCCCTCCAGCCAATAGTACTTACCTTTTCTGCACTGGGGGCCTATTTGAGGATGCCAAAGCTGGGGGTGTTCTCTTCAACCACGTCAGTGGGAGTGTCTGGGGTGAAGCAAGCAGTGTAGTTAGGAGAGATTCTCCTGAATCAGGGCTGGCTATAACAGACAGCTCTGAAAGACAGAACTGGGAGAATGTGAGGGAGGCAGAGCCTTCTGTCTCTCTCTCAGCCAAACTGGGCTGTCCTACTCTGTGCTCAGGGAAGGAGCTGATCCTGGTGACTGTAGATCTGATCTGAGCTGACTGAGAAAGAAAGGGCCATAGACACTCAGTACAACGGAGAAAAATCTCATCTTCCTCTCTGGTGACAAACTGGGAGGCACTTCTGGCATATTCGTAAGCAGTACCCAGGCCCTCCTCTGGGTGTACCCTACCTGGCTGGCTGTTCCTCTTGCCCATAAGTCCCACAAAGAAGTCGTGCATGTCACCTGAAAGAAAAGGCCAGTGTTGTCAACATACATGCCAAGACTTCTGAGCCTGGAGTATTGGTTTCCTATCACCAACTCTGCCCCCCACCCAAACCAGGGTCTATGTAGGCTACGCTGCCCTGGAACTTGCCATTTAGCCCAGGCTAGCTTTGCATCCTCCGTTCCTCCTCAACCTCGAGAGTTCTGGAATTACAAACGCACCGTTGTCTCTGGCTCTTCCTTATCTCACTGGAGCCTGTACTCCACAGCTAGCAGGTCTGTTCTCTCTCTCTGCCCATTTTCTCTTTTCACCCCTCTCCCCCACACACATTTCATTCCTTTCCTACCACAGCAGGTGCTGGCTTAGCATCTTTGCCACCAGGAGAGCCTCTTAGTTCCCAGTGACCAGCCAGCCAGTAAGGGATGGTCTCCCATGCCCCCACACCTGCTTTTTTCCTTGTTCCTCCTGCTGTCTCCCACTCAGAAGGGCTGGCGAAGCAATTGCAGCTGGCATATTTTCTACACCAGCTGGGATGAGGCCGGCCAAAATTGCCCATCGGCCCCACCCATGCCCGTGGAACTTTGGACAAACGGTCAGCACAGATGGGGAAGAAGCTACTCACGTTTCTGTGGAAGTGATGTCTCCTTCGGTCCTGTGAAGGCAAGCACACGTGTGTAAACAGAAACAGAGAGGAATTCAAATCACTGTCCCCATTAACTAGGACAACCCCCCCCCCCGTCTCCCTCCCACAAAGGGGTTTCCCAGGCTAATCTAATCTTCAGAACGCTGGTCCCTTGCCCTTTGCCCCGCCCCTTCCATCTCCAGAGCCGCCTCCTACCCACGCTGGCCTTGCTCAGCGCCTTAAGCAATCCTTCCAGAGAGACAGGGCGGCTGTCGTAGAGTCTCCGAAGCAGGGATGGAGGTAGCGGATAGCGATCAGAGTCCTTGTAGGGGAGAGGAGCAGAGAGCCGAGGGGTGAGGTTCACACCCCAAACACTTGCTCTCATCCTGCACGAAACAGCCTCACCCCAAACCCACCACAGCTGAATCCAACACCCCATTTCCTTCAGGATTTCCTCTGGCTTACTGTGGAAGAGAAATGGGTGCATAAAGTGTGGCGTGTAGGCCAGCAGCAGCAGCAGCAGCCAGCAGTACCGGGATCATGTTAGATATCCAGTCTTACCTGAGACCTCCCGGACGGGACCTGAATCTGAAGGGGACCCCGCCGAGGTGCTGGTGTGCATGAAGTTTGGAGCCATGCGGAGGCTTCCGGGTGGCTGCACTGCTGGCCAGATTGCCTAGGACTGACTTCCTGGGATACTAATCGTGCTATCTCCCAAGGTCAAAGGTGATTGTCTCCCGGAATCCCTGCCCAGCTCTGCCACCTCTCAGGGACAAAGTCACAAGTTCAAAACCAGCTTGCTCACAGACACGGTTAATCCACTGAGTGAGCCATGAATTCACCACACCCAAGAAAGGCTCATCACACTTAGCAGTGTCCTCTAATCTGTCCTCTGGGACTTGGTCCTGTGGTCGGGTGGCGGCAGCGGGCAGCCAGGGCACACACAAAACTCCCTACTGTGTGCAGCATCTATGGACGATGCCCTCCCTGGCTTTTCACTGCCTCTCCCTTGCTCTTCGACACAGTTTTCTGCTTTTCATGTGTTTTCTCTCCCCTTTCCACCTTGGATCTAGAATTTCAGGTTCCAGAGCCACTGTCCCGTAAGACCACTGCATTATCCTCATGATTTTTTTTTTCTTCTAGCAACTTGGGCACAGCAGAATTGGTGGGTTCATGACATGTACGCCATTAACCGGAGCCCAGAAAACTGCTGCTTCTGACTGGGTTAGGGAGTGCTTGTCTTGGAGCTCAGCTGTGCCCCTCTCTGAAGTCCTAGCATCCTTGGGCTGCTGTGTACACCAGAATACACCCCAGATAAGCCTCTTAGGTACCCACACACACATATGGCATCCAGTAACCTTGTCCTCACAGATCTTGGGGAGAGAAATGATCTCTTTTGTTGACCAAGAGAGGCAAAGGGGTTTTCTTGTTGCCCAGGGCACTGAAGCAAACTTATCTGAAGAACCCAGACAGTCTTACCACCCTGAGTCCACAGGGTCTAGCCTGTATCTAACACTTCTTGAGCACTGGGGTTTGTTTGGATCTGGTGTGAGTGTTGCCATTTGCCCATCTGCCATGGTGAGCACCTGTGTGCTCAGGTTCTCGTGTGTGTGTGTGGTGTGTGTGTGTGTTTGTGTGTGTGTGTGTGTATGTATGTGTGTGTGCACTCAAGCTTGTGTGCAATCTCTGCCTCTCTCTCTCTCTCTCTCTCTCTCTCTCTCTCTCTCTCTCTCTCTC